GCCCCTGGGGCCACTGGGGAGTAAGAAACTGCCGTTGGGCACTTGCTGGTAGGCCGCTTTCTTGTTTGATGTGCCTACTGCAGCGCCAACCTCCCTCCATGAGCGCGGCTGTTAAACAAGCGAGTGTGGAAATTCCCAGCGACTCGCCTGGCCTGTAATGCGCGTCTGCCTGGGCGTCGAGGAGGTGGCGAGGGGTCAAGCACGTACGATATAAGACGTGCTATGGATCTAAGGGTACATCCGTCTTTGACTTTGCGCTTCGAAAGTGCCCGCGGGCTCTGCGGCCACATCGGCGCCCGTTGGCAGGCCAGGTTAATATTGGCACACCCGATGTACGACATGGAACGGATGCGGAATGATTATTTTTGCTCCCGAACCACTTTTCGACTCGGCTGCACATTGTCACACGAGCAAAACCTCGACCCCGCGCCGCTGAGCAGACGGCGACTTGCATGCAGCTCCCCCACGCTATGGCGGGGCTCGAGCGACACAGTGCTTTCCCTTCTCGTTCTGCTTTCGTTCCTCCCCTCGCCCGTCGCCGCTCCACCTTTTTGCGGAAGAACGCAATCCGAACGAAAGCGGCCCACGAAATCACCTGAGCACCGTTGAGCTCGAGCCCTGCGCTTGGAGGACCATCGCTGGCGCGAGACAGCACTGGGGAAACCAAAAGGTACCGGCACCGCTACTCCCAGGACCTCTCCTGCGATGCGTTCTGACCAGATATTCGAGGCGAATCCAGCGGTGGCGACGAGGGCCTCCCAGGAGGCCCAACACAAGGGAAAACGAGGAGAGGGTAGAGGTTTGGGTACCTCTTCCTCCTCTAATGCACGACTGGTCCGCTCACTGCTGCAGCCGCCCCCGGCAGGGGCAGAAGCGCCGAGCGCCCTCCGGCGGCTGCACCGCGCAGCGCTGGGAGAGAGGCGGGGGGGCGCGGCGGGCCACCCCTCCCGGCGTTCCTCGCCCCAAGGACGAAGGCAGGATGAGGATGCGCTCGTTCCTGCCCCCCCCTCGAGCCACTCCTCCTCCCCCTCCTCCCTCCTCCTCCTCCTCCTCCTCCTCCTCCTCCTCCTCTTCCTCCTCTTCTTCCTCCTCGTCCTCCCTCCTCCTCCTCCTCCCTCTCGTCGTCCTCCTCCTCCTCCTCCTGTTCCTCCTCCTCCTCCCTCCTCTCCTCCTCCTCCTCTCCTCCTCCTTCCTCCTCCTCCTCCTCCTCCTCCTCCTCCTCCCCCTCCGCCTCCTCCTCGTCCTCCTCCTCGTCCTCGTCCTCCTCCTCCTCCTCCATCGAGAGGTGGCAATACACTCAGATAAGTATGCATGAAGGGCTGGAGCACCTCAAGGACGGCATCCACCTGGAGCCAGTGCGCAAGGTCATCCGCAACCTCGAGAAGCACGGCCTGAAGCAGGAGGCGCGCGGCCTGCGCTCCACCGTCATCGGAGCACAGTGGCCCCAGCAGCAGCTGCAGGCCGCGGGTCTCGCTGACTCCCCACTGTGCCAGCGCTGCGGAGAGGCCCCTGGCACGCTCCCACACCGCCACAGTGCATGCGTGGCGTGGGCGCGAGAGCGCAGGGAGAGCGAGATCGGCCAGGTCCACTTCCCCGAGGGCACGCTCACCGCGATGCAGGAGGCGTTCTGGGGCAGGTGCTTGCTGCCCAACTGGAACGCGGGGCCGAGGCCGTCGAGAGCGTGGCACACGGTATGGAGCATAGAGGTCCCAGGAGGTTTCTTCATGGACGACGGCTTCGTGGACGGATCGGGGCGTAGCCTTGCAGGCCCCGATGACATGCGGGTGGGCTTCGGCTGCGCATCGGTGGACCACCTCGGGCGAGTCACGGGAGCCTGCCACGGGCCATCTCCTGGCTGGCTACAGGAGGTGGGAGAGGGCGAGCTCTTCGCGGTGGAGGTCATGCTGCAGCACGCCGTGCCCCCGTTCACCATCTACAGCGACTATCAGGACCTGCTCGACGGCATCGCCGCAGGGCCTGCTGTGTGCTGCGCGCCTGGCAAGGCCTACGCCGAGCAGTGGAGGAGGATCTGGCGGCTCATCATGGACATCGGGCAGGATCAGCTTCAGTTCCGCAAGGTCAAGGCCCACCAGGTCATCACCCAGCTCGCATACGGCTCGGTGGAGCGGCGGCTCGCCCTTGGCAACCAAGCCGCCGACACCGAGGCCAAGATGGGAGCGGCCTGCCACCGCTGCAGCTCGCAGGTCGAGGAGGAGCGCTTCGCCTCCCAGCAAGGGGCGGTGGGTCGCATGGCGGGCTGGGTGGCCCAGGTGTGCGTGCTAGCCAACGGGAGCCAGAGGGACACCACGGGCAAGCAGCTGCTGACGAGGGCCCCGAGGCACGAGGAGCAGCACGGCATGGTGCGTGCCGCTAAGCGCCGCCGCACCCAGCCACGCGGGCAGCCAATGCCCGAGCCCGACAGGAGAGTCGGCACGAGCCTGAGCATGGCGCACGACGACCAGGACGGCGACAGCAGCGGAGGCGAGTCGCCACAGCGCGGGGCCACGGTGCTGTCGGCGGCGGCGCTCGCGGCGGCAGCTGGGGGGGCAGGCCTGGCGGGGGGCTCCGAAGACGTGACCGACGGCGAGGACCTGGCCCAGCGTGGTAGCGCTGTCAGCAGGGGCGAGGCCGACCCTGCTCCGCCCCGCTGGGCCCAGCAGAGGACGGCGAGCCAGGCCAGCGGCGGCGACCCCGAAGGCCTGGCGGACGGCTGGGCAGCGCCGGACGCCCCGCGGAGCGGCCAGGGCAGCAGCAGCCAGGCCATCCACGACGGCGAGGACAGCGACGACGCGCCGCTGGTGCAGCCGCGCAGCAGGCAGGCGGCCCCGCGCAGACGGCAGCTCTTCACGGCGAAGGGCACGCTGGCTCGAGGCGGTGACAAGCGGCCTCGCGAGGCCGAGGCTCGGCAGGCAGCGCTGGAGGCGAGCAGCAGCCAGGCTGATGGCAGGACTGCCAGCCTGGACGGCATCGGCCGCCGCGTGGCGGCACGGCTCCAGCGCGAGCGAGGGCCACAGCTCTTCATGCCCGACGACGTGGGCAGCGTGGTGGGCCTGCCGCTGCGGCACCGCGCGCAGTGGGTCGGCGGTGACAGCGCGCTGCCCTTCGCATGCGACCGCTGCGGGGTCCGCTGCAGGGACCGCGCCCAGCTGGAGGCGGGGCTGTGCCGCGGGACGCCTGCTGCCGTGCTGGCGGCCGACGCGACGCACCGCCTGATGACCATGGGCGACGTGGTGTTCTGCAGCGCCTGCGGTGCAAGGGCGAGCGGAGGTGCGGCCGTCCTGCTGGCGGCGAAGTGCCTGGGCAAGGTCGCCAACGCCACTGCGGGCACGCGGCTGAACAGGATGAAGGCGGGGAAGCACCCGACCAAGGGCCACTTCATCGGCGAGCCCGTCCAGCTGGAGGCGCGCCTAACGGAGGCCCCAGCGGAGGAGGTGCCGACAACGGCATGATGTTCGTGGGCGGCTCGCCGCCCAGCCTGGGCACTGCTGCGGCCGTTCGGCCAGAGGGGCGGCAGCGGGAGGGCGCTGGGCGGCGAGCGGCCTCAGGCGCAGCGCGGCGGCGGCCTGCGCCGTGCCGCGCCTGCGCCGCGGTGGGCTGGCGGCTGAGGCCGTAGGCCCGTGCCCGCCCGCGCGGCGGCGGCGGTCGGCGCCGTGCCGCGAGGGCGTGCCGCGCCCGCGGCGGCGAGGCGGGGGCCGCCGCGCCGCTCGGGCGCTCGGGCGGCGCGCCGAGACAGACGGCCCGCCGCGCAAGTGGGTGCGCTCCTCCTCCTCCTCCTCCTCCTCCTCCTTCTCCTCCTCCTAAGCTGCCATTTCGCCCACCGAGCAATTCAGGCAGCTCTCTCCAGATCTGCTTCCAACCCCACAGCTCACGAGGAGTCATGTGGTCGCGATGAGGGCGCTGGTCTGCTTGTGTACGAGATTAACCGCGTGCTTATCCCTCGGGCAATGCAACCATTGTCGTGCTGCCAGGACGGACTGGTGGAGATCGCAAGGGAGTGCAACAACTTCGACGTGAAAGCCCTCAAGGAGAATCAGAGACGCAGGCATGTGGAAGAGGGGACAGCAGAGGCAACAGACTACGTAGAGGCAGGAACAACTACGGAAAAACTACAACGGGGAGCAGGCCAACAGGTCCGACTACTAGCTGAGAAAAATAACATGACCGTCACGAACACGCGAGGATCTTGGAGGCCGACTTACTACGGGGACGGAGGCGCCTCGAGCATAGATTACATCTCGGCACCCTGGAGATTGTGCTCAAGCTGGAGATCGAGATACCCGCCGATGAGACTGGGCAGCAGACTACAAGAGATCCCGAGCGGGTCACAAAGGGACAATATACCAGACCAAGCTGTATTTCATCTACGAACGGGATTGGAAAGTGGACGAGAACTGCGCCCACTTAGATGGGACAAATATGCGCCGATGAAGAAGGTCACCCGCAACATCGGGTTTGTTCAGGAGCTCAACCATACCATCGCAGCATTCACGCTGAAGACGTACGACAAGGACATAGACGAGTACCTCACCGAGCTGAACGAAATAATGAAGGAGACATCGCAAAGACACTCTGCATATTACGGAGTACGAGACACAGTATTCGCTGCACTACGTGAGGATCGAGCGAAGTTACTGACACAACGAAGTGACCTACGAGAGGCATCGCATGATACAGTACGAGACGCACAATTATCATATGACCAAGTAACAACACGAGTGCTGGAAAAAACTATGGCAAACCTGGGAACAGAGGGCTCAGGCATCAGTGGGATTTTTATCCAGATTCATAGCAGGAGGCAGACATGGACCACAAAAAAAAGACTTCTGGGCAGTAACTACCGCACAACCGAGGATACAGGAGTGGACCGTTTTTCGGAGCCGACCTGGTGGTGAAGGGGGGACGCTAGGGGAGAAGATCGCCCCCACGGACGTCACCTACCTGGAGTACATCGGTGGACGTAAGACCAAGGAGAAGGTACTGGAACACAATTCGCACGAACTTGGGTACAGATCAAGGAGATTCCAGAAGACCAAGTTCGAGCCGACGACTATCGCTTCGACATGCCCGATCTGCAACCACTTCGATAAAAAAGAGGACCGTATCCGACTACGCCCGCACACACACAACGACCGAGGACAAGCCGAAAGCAAGGACATGTTCGAAACGGCACCGGCGCGAGCAGGGTCGAAAGAGGGAATCGAGGCCCAACCGAAAAGATGGGACAACAAGAAGGGAAGCCAGGACGACGAGAGCAGGGACCGCTCGCTGCAGCTGACGGCGGAGCTCGTCCTGATTGTGACCAACGACACCACAGGGCTGAAGTCGACCGTGGTCGAGACGTGGGAGGTAGACGCGGACTCGCTGCTGACCACCGCGGGCTGGCTGACGGGGGCGAACTGCAACAAGAACGCGCAAGCCCTCAAGGCGAAGGCCGAGATCGACGACAGAGCGGACCTCGGCTTCCTGGGATCGCGGCGCCTCGTCGTGCACAGCAAGGCGATGAAGAAGCTAGGCCAGGACACGACGGGCGAGACGCAGAAGGCGCAGGAGCAGTACTACAAGAAAGTGGCGAAGCAGCCAGACATGGTGAGGCTCGGCTACAACGTCACGATCAGGGTCAAGAAGAACAAGGACAGGACTGCGCAAGGGAAGGAGCGAGCTCGGAACCAGCTCATGACCCACCCCGAGTGCGTGCAGAGCAGGAACATCCCCGTGAAGGAGCGGATGGTGCAGGAGGACAAGAGGCAGTACGGGACTGCGCCGAGGGGGGACCGCGAGAGGGACATAGGACGCAGGGTGAAGCGACGGTAGAGATGAGCGGAGTAGAAGTTTTGCCAGGCAGTACAGCCCTCCCCTTCCTTGCCTCGTTTTTCTGAAACGAGCGCCAGATTCCGAGTTCTGGCGAACTCGGGCAGGCTCCCGTTTCCCAGTCCCCCCCCGAACACTGTACTCGAACTGTATTTTCCGTGCCCTTTCCTGCATCAGTACTTAATTCACCGTCCACCCCGAGCCGAAGCCCGACGGGAGGGGGGCGGACGGGGGGCTGACAAGGGCAATGGCCGAGGGAAAAAAGGACAGGTGGCCGTAAGACAGTCGGAACAGATGCCACACCGCCTGGAGCCCCCCGCGTGGGGGCGAAGTGCGGTCGGGCCCGTTCGTTTTTGGTGGCGACTGCAGGCCCTCTAGCGAAGCGACGGATTGCAATGCAATCTCAGCCAGATTCCGATTGCGACTAGGGAGCGAAGTGGGGGCCCAGTGCAGTCGACTAAGCGGGGATCCGAGGCTGGTCACGGTCAAGGTCCTCCTCCTCCTCCTCCTCCCTCCTCCTCCCATTCCTCCTCCTTCTCATCCTCCTCCTCCTCCTCCTCCTCCTCCTCGTCCTCCTCCCCCCTCCTACTCCTTCTTTCCCTCCTGCTCCTCCTCCTCTCTTCCCCTCTCTTTCTCGACCACTAGGCCTTTGCCTTCTCCTCCGTCGCTGCAATCCTGGCCCGGAAGGCATCGATGGCCTGCCCGCGGCCGTGCTGGCGCGGGCGTCTGCCGCGGCCGAGACGCAGTGACGCGCGCTCTCCCCTGGGCCTTCGTGAGCGGAGCCTCGGGCTCCGCACAAGAAACAAGAAGGCCGAATTTGAGGCGCAAGCCTCTCCTCCCCCCCCCCACCGCAATAATACCAGCACTGCTGCGTCCGCTATCCGACTTCGGACGCGTGCAGCGGCACACTGGCTTGTGTAGCCTGGCCTGAGCAGAATACCCGCACGACAGGCAGCAACATCAAGGGTTTGGGGAGATCTCCAACCTGCTCACTGGCCAGCACATGACCATGCTCGGGAGAATGCGTCAGAAGATCGTACATCGTCCGCGGGAAACCTTCACAACCTACCTCTGGTCTGGCACCTGTGTCGCCAGCGTAAGATTTGGGGCAAATGGCGCATCGATGGCCCCACGGCCACTCCTCCCACGCGTGCCAACCTCAGCTCGTTCAAAGACCCTCTTGAGACGGGCCCCACGCGGGGGGGCGCCCATGGGGTCCCTGGGGAAACACGGCAGCACGGCCGCAATGCATCGTGCCACCGCTCCGAGCTTCCCAATCGAAGCCTGGACCGCGTCCCATTCATTCTGAAAAGACCTAGGGTGCATGAGAATAACCTGCTTTGCCTCCGCGGGCACGCCCGTCTGCCGATGGGGCGCTCAAGCTCCGACAACATGTCTACAGCGGCCAGATCTCTGTGAGCGGGGGTCCAGACAGCTGGGGCAGACCTACTTCCGCCCATCTGCTGCAGAACCCCCTCTCCCGAGCCCTGCGTACCTTCGACGATGGGACAGTTGAGCCCGAGGGGGGGCTGCCATGGAGGACCACAGCGTTCACGCAAGCCCTGCAGCACTCTTCCCCTATAAACGGGGGCGAAGGTGGGTAGGAGTGCCAGCTGCAGCTGCTCCGCAGCCTGGCTCGTCTGTGGGAAACTCGGCCATAAAGGGGGCGCCGCGCCGACGCCACCCTCGCATCCCCTGGCCCCATGAAGGACAGCTGCTCTCGAAAGCTCCTTGATCTGGTGCGGCGTACAAGATCCATCCACTGAAACTCGTAGGCCAGCTGTGTCGAACGAGGCTCAGTCCATGCGGAGGCCGCACATATGGGTGTTCGCAGCGCGAGGATGTCTGGATCGATCTCCCTCCCCGCCCCCGCCCAGGCCCAGAGATCAGCGCCTGCTCCCTGAGCCGCTCTCCCCCCCAGCTTCCCCCCTCCCCCCCTGGCAGGCGAGGCGCTTGAGCCGGGTGCATGAGCCGTGTGCCGGGGCCCCGCTGGGCTCTTCGCAGCGCGGGAGAGACGCATGCACAGGACGGGCGAGCCCGGCGACGGCGAGGAGCGGTCGTGGGCGGAGGGATCCCCAGACATCCGGAGGGTCCAACCGTAGAAATCAAGATGCACTGCGGCCTCTCAGGATCGCCTCTGGGCCCCCAGAGGCCATCAAGAACGGATCCGGGGTGAGAATGCGACCGCCGGGGGACCGGACCTCGCGGGCCACGGGCAAGAAAAAAAACACACATCGCCGGATGTCTGGGCCGGGGCGGGCGACAAGAGAGGGCATTCCGAAGGGTGGGTTGGCGAGCCAGCTGGCTGGGCGGCGGAGCTGAGACCAACTGCGTGCAGATCTAGCACCCCCCCCATCCCCGTCCCAATGCCCCCCCGTTCCGCCTGGCCCGACGAGCGACGCAAAGCTGCATCCTCGTCACCGTCGTTCGGGCCAAAGCCGTCGGCTTTCCAGCCGCAGTGGCCCTCGGAGCAGCTGGGGTCGTGCTCCACCGAGCCCTCTTGGATCGTCTTGCACCACGAGGCCACCTCGCCGACGGGAGAGGCGGGCGGTGAGCGGCCGACATTTTGCATTCGGCCGCCTGACGCCCGCACGCCGGAAACAGCTGCACAGCACTCGTACAGAACATACAACGTGAGAGGGACAAGCAAAGGCGTAAGCATACACTTTCGGAACTCCGCGAGGATTGCTTGGATTCGCGCTGAGCCCCCCTCCCTGGGGCGCTCCGCGCGCCAGGGGCGGCGCCGGAGGCGCCGCCAGGGCCCGGCGCCGATCCAAGAAATCCGCACGGAATTCGGAACGCTCATTCCCCGCATGTTTAATGGGGAAATGGTTTTTCTTCTCTCCCGCGTCCTACCCGCGTCTTCCTTATACACTCACCTCCCTCCCTCCTCCGTCCTCACGTTTTCTTCTTCCCTCACCTCACCCACGCGCAACACATGCACGGCACGTACATGAGGCACGCGTCTACATGCAGCCGCACGCATGCACACACTCGCGCACGCGCACACACACACACACACCATGCAACGCCAATGCACACATGCACGGCACGCACATGTGCCGACATGCTTAGTGGGGTTCTTATTCCCCGCACGTTTCGTGGGGTTCCGGTTTCCTTCTCTGCCGCGTCGCACCCGCGTCTCCCTCACACACCTCCCTCCCTCTTCCCTCCTCACCTTCTCTTGCTCTCTCATCTCACCCACGCGCACCACATGCGCGACACGTACATGAAGAACGCGTCCACATACAGCCGCACGCATGCACACACTCGCACACACACACACCATACAACGCCAGTGCGCGCCTGGGCCTGGCACAGCAGGCGTGGTACTGCCTCGACACCATAGGGGGTGCGCAAGGGGGGGGCCCTGAGTGGTGCGGTGTCTATCCACGACGCTGTCGCACAGCTGAGCAGGCGCGGCACTCTCTTGACGCCAGAGGGGGTACTCAGGGGGTGGTCCCTGTGCGCGGGGTCTATCCACGACACTCTCGCAACGCTTAGCAGGCATGGCACGTTTTCATCGACAGAAGGGGTGATCAGGGGGTGGTCCCTGTGCGCGGTGTCTATCCACGACACTGTCGCAAAACCTAGCATGCGCTGCGCTTTCTCGACGCCAGAAAGGGTGCTCAGGGGGTGGTCCCTGTTCGCGGTGTCTATCCACGACAGTGTCGTACAACTAAGCAGGCGTTGCACTTTCTCGACGCAAGAGGGGGTGCTCAGGGGGTGGTCCCTCAGCGCGGTGTCTATCCACGACACTGGTGCAAAACCTCGCAAGCGTGGCATTTTCTCGACACCATAAAGGGGGTGCGATGGGGGTGGTTCCTGAGTGCAGTGCAGTGTCTATCCACGACACTGTCGCAAAGCTTAGCAGGCGTGGCATGTTCTCGACGCCAGAGAGGGTGCTCAGGGGGTGGTCCCTGAGCGCGGTGTCTATCCACGACACTGTCGTAAAGCTTAGTACGCGTGTCACTTGCTTGACGCCTGAGGGGGTGCTCAGAGGCTGGTCCCTGAGCGCGGTGTCTATCCACGACACTGTCGTAAAGCTTAATACGCGTCTCACTTTCTCGACGCCTGAGGGGGTGCTCAGGGGGTGGTCCCTGTGCGCGGTGTCTATCTACGACAATGTCGAAAAGCTAAGCATGCGTCACTTTCTCGACGCCAGAGGGAGTGCGCAGGGGTTGGTCCCTGTTCGCGGTGTCTATTCACGACACTGTCGCAAAGACTAGCAGGCGTGGCATTTTCTCGACGCCAGAGGGAGTGCGCAGGGGTTGTCCCTGTTCGCGGTGTCTATCCACGACACTGTCGCAAAGACTAGCAGGCGTGGCATTTTCTCGACGCCAGAGGGAGTGCGCAGGGGTTGGTCCCTGTTCGCGGTGTCTATCCACGAGACTGTCACAAAGCTTAGCAAGCGTGCCACTTTCTCGTCATCATCGGTATCGGTGAAGCAACGGCCGCCAGCATCATCCTCACAAGTTTCACTTCATTTATCATGACGCCAGACATATTATAAGTATGTGGGGTTCCTCGGTAGCGTAATTATTGTGGCGTTTTTCTTCGTCGAGCTCGCACTTGCAAAGCGGACGCTGCGGAGCACTTGCGCCTGCCCCCGGATTCCAGAGCTGGCGCGAGGCATCAAGGAGCTTGGCCCCGAGGTGGCTTCCCAAACATTTTTCCTCGCGGGCGCAAGCGAAAACGCAGGCGCCGTGGTGAAAGGTCCGGGCCGCGGGCCGATCTAATTACACGCGCGGGCGAGTGGTTTCCCAAGCATGCGACGTCCTGATTTTTTCCACACGGCGTCCCAGGAGGTCCAGACCCTTTCCGTGGGGTTGTTTTTTCGTCCGGCGGCGTTGTTTGACGCTCCCTGGGGCCCGGCGAGGGCACCCCGAGGCCGACAATAGCAAAGAACCTCCCGTCCAGAGGGGACCGAAAATGGCCGAAAATGGCAAAGTGTTGTTTTCTGCGACGCGATCACGTCTGGGTCCATCCCTGCACCCCAGCCGCGCGGGATCGAGGGCCGTCCCACAGCGGTGCGGCGACAGACCATGCTGTGGCCCCTCGAAGTCCCAGAGGCCTCAAAGCACGGTCGGTAGGAGAAGGAGGAGGAGGAGGAGGAGGAGGAGGAGGAGGAGGAGGAGGAGGAGGATCAGAGACAGCCACCGCACGGTCTTGGGACCTACAATTGGCGGCCGCCCCAGTGGCCCGAAAGACGCCCTCGGAAAACGACCCCCGCGTCCAAAACTCGTGCGGCCATCTCACCCGACGGTGTGGTCACCGCTCCGTTTCAGGAATTCCGCACCCCAGATCTCCCGATCACGTCCGCTTGGGGCAGTTTTACACGTCAGATTCACTCTTTGATGGCCCAGGAACCCAAAAATCAGCTGCATGGAGGCCGAAAGCTGGAAACATAACGCGGGCATCGAGAAATACAATCCGTCGGGCGTCTGGGGGTTTGATCGGATCGCAATGTGCGTCGAATCGGGCCGCATCGGCAATGACTAGGAATCAAATCGGATCGGCCGCGCCATAATGCACAACCGCGTCATACGAGCATCGGACCGCGTCGGATCGTCGGCACATCGGAATCGATCCGGATCGGGCCGACCAAAATCAAGGATCGAAACGGATCGGTCTGGTCGGAACGGGTCATCGGTAACCTCGGCGGTAGATCGGCGACGTCGGCGTAGAGAACTGCGCGCTCCGCACCTCGCTGCATCGCCGATGCATCGGCAGTACCTCCCTCCACTAGGGCGCCTAACTTCGCGCCTCGCGCTGCGCGTAGTGCGACAAACTTCGCGCTGTCGCGCCGCCTCCCATGGGAGAAGAGGAGGGCGAGGAGGAATCGGAACCGAACCGCGAAGCGCGAAGCGCGAATAACTTCGCGCCTTCGGGGGCGCCCTTGCTTCAATCCCATCTGCTCAGTACCCCGCTTGAGAGGTCTGGACCCATGGAGGCCGAAGTCTGGAAACGAGCAAGAGCGCTGGGATTGAGCGACACTGGTCCTCAGGGGTCTGCCGTGAACGCGCCAGCCGGGCCGCCCAGCTCCCACACCCGGAAACCAGGTCAGCGGGGGGAGGGGAAGGGGGAGATGAGAAAGAGTTGCAAGATGAGGAGGAGGGGGAGGAGGAGGAGGAGGAGGAGGAGGAGGAGGAGGAGGAGGAGGAGGAGGAGGAGGGAGAGGAGGAGGAGGAGGAGGAGGGGAGGAAGGACAAGCTAGGTGCGCTCGCGTCATATCTGGCATCCTACCCTCCCTCCCATCCCTTACCATGGCGCAGATCCCCTCTCTACTCGCTCAGTCGGATGTCGAACAGGGCAATGATCCCGAAAGGGTACGCGATGCAGTGTAGAGCACGGCATGGCATGGCGTAGAAGAGCACCGCAAAGCGTAGTATCAACCTCGCATTGCATTGCATACTGTGGCATGGCACTAGAAATGACGCCAGCGCTGCAGCGGGAGCACGAGTCGAAACCAGCGGAAGCGCGGAAATGAGGCCAGCGCTGCAGCGGGAGCGATTCGAAACGAGCGGAAGCACGGAAATGAGGCCAGTGCTGCAGCGGGAGCACGATTCGGACCGAGCGGGGCCCGAAAATGAAGCCGGCGCCTCAGCGACAGCAGCATTTTGAAAAAAAAATGCAAGCGGAAACCCAACTCCGGAGAAACCTGTGCGTAAAACACAGTATGCGGGGGGGTGTCGGCCACTTTCAAACCGTCATCAGGGGGCGAGGGAGAGTAGTATTCATATGGAGTAATTGTGGAGGACGACGAGGAGGAGGACGAGGAGGAGGAGGAGGAGCAGGAGGAGGAGGAGGAGGAGGAGGAGGAGGAGGAGGGGGAGGAGGAGGAGGAGGGGGAGGCGGAGGAGGAGAAGGAGGAGGTGAGGAAGAGAGGAGGAGGAGCGGAGGAGGAGGAGGGGGAGGAGGAAGAGGAGGGGATGGAGGAGGAGGAGGAGGAGGAGGAGGAAAGTCTCGACCCAGGAGGGTCATGCATCCGAATTCCCACGGAGGCCCCACGAGCCCCGCGAGACCCCAAGGGGCCCCAGGGACCCCTGCCGAGGCCTCACCGTACTGAACGTAGGCCAAACCTGGGTCTAACTCCAGGTTCGGCCCCATCCCGACCTCGTCGGCGGCGGACTGGCACAGCGCCGCGTAGCGCTCCCGCCGGTCCTCCACGAAGAGGTCCGCGTAGGCGTCGCCGTCGACAGAGCTCTCGGGATCCGAGACTCCGTCGCTCGACTCTGGCCCTCGTCGAACACGAACTTGTCCGCCCACGGGCCAGGAGGGCGGCGAGCGCCACTGTGGTCAGCTGCGGCAGCCCCGCTGTCGGGAAGGCGGTCTCCCTCCAGCGGCTCGTGCGGGACCTTCACGATCCCAGAGCCGTCCGGAGCCGCCTTGGCGGAGGCGAGCTTCTCCTCGAGCGCGACCATGCGATCAGCCGCTGCATCGAGCTCGTCGTGCAGCGCCTGCGTCGCTTGGCGCCGTTGCTCTGCCCGACCGCGAGCGCGAGCGCGGCCATGTTCACCTGCTCCGTGGCGCCACGGAGTAGCGCCTCCAGCACCGCGATGCTGTCGATCGGCTCGCTCCCGTCGGTTTCGGCGCCCTCGTCGCCGAAGTGCACGCCGCTGCCGTCGTCGAGCTTCGTGACCTCGTCGATCCCGAAATCCGTGACGGCGCACACGGCCTTGACAGACTCTTCCATGTTCGGCACCTCGCAGATGCCGTCGTTCGCGGTCTCTGTGACGCTGTCCACGTTAGCAGACTGAGCTGGGCCCTCGAGGTCGACGCTATCACCTGTGGCCGCGGGCATCGACCACCCCCCCGTCGGGGGCCGCGGCTGCAGGGCGCCTGGAGGGGGAGGCTGCAGTCCGCGCGTACGCGGCTCCCTCGTTCCATGCGGAAGCGGACCTGGAGGGCCGGAGCCTGGAGAGGCCAATGCCCTTCTGTGTGTCGCTCAGCCTCCTTGCGCTCGATGCTGTTCAGCACCTGATCGTTCGTATCCGTTTCCAGCTGCACCCTCTCGATCTGGCTTTCCGCAAACTTCCAGCCCGCTGCCAAGCCGTCGCCGAAGGCCTGGGCATCCGCCAGAGGGTCGCCCTTGTGCCACACGCCTGGCGCCAGCCACCCGGCCAGCGGTGCGCGCAGCGCCTCATCGGCAATCGGCACGTCCTGGTCGATCTGCCGCGCATCCCGCTCCGAGTGGCCCATGCCCAACCGCGGCCCAGCAGCTGCCCACTCGATGTCCTTGTCGGATGCCCTGGCGAAGCCGCCGGGGGACACCCTTTCTGAGTGCCAGGAAGCATTGCGCCTCCTGCGCGACGCTCCAGGGACGCGCTTGCCCGAGGCGAGCAGCTGGAGGGCGGGCCTGGACGCCCGCTCTCGGTCCTGCCAGCTGCCAGGGCCACCAGCACGAACGGCATCTCGCAGGCCCGCCTCGCACGCCTCCCGCCTCCTGCGGCGGGCGGCCCGGCGGGCAGCGGAGGCGCCGAGGGCGATGGCCTCGGAGGCGCGCAGCGGACCAGGCAGCCAGGTATCCTGGCCGCCCCCCGTAGCCACGCCGTCCGCCCGGGGCACCATCGTCCGGAAATGGCAATGGCAAAAGCGGGAAAGATCGGCTTGAGCCAAAATGGCTAGGGAGGAGGAGGAGGAAGAAGAAGAAGAAGAAGAAGAAGATGAGGAGGAGGAGAATGAGGCGGAGGAGGAGGAGAAGGAGGAGGAGGAGGAGGAGGAGGAGGAGGAGATGAAGGAGGGGGAGGAGGATAGGAGGAGGAGGAGAGAGGAGGAGGAGGGAGAGGAGGAGGAGGAGAAGAGGGGAGGGGGAGGGGAAGGAGGAGGAGGAGGAGGAGGAGGAGGAGGAGGAGGAGGAGGAGGAGGAGGAGGAGGAGGAGGAGGAGGAGGAGGGGGGAGGGGGAGGGGGAGGGGAGGAGGAGGAGGAGGAGGAGGAGGAGGAGGAGGGGATGAGGAGGAGGAGGAGGAGGAGGAACGTTGGGAACGTTGGGAACGTTGGGGTGAACGACGGCGAATGTCGAAGCTCCTCTCGATTACTGCTGCAGATCGACGATGGCAGCAGCTCTGACCGACTTCGGCGGCCCGCTGGGGTGGGGGATACTCCCCCCTCTGAATTCTCGCTAAAGTTTGCCTCCCCTTCGCTGTGGAGGAGGAGGAGGAGGAGGAGGAGGAGGAGGAGGAGGAGGAGGA